CTGCGCGCCATGTGGGACCCTCCTCCGGTGGCCGGGGAGCAGCCGGGGATCGAACCGGCGCTGCAGAGGCTGTCGGCAGCTTCGCAACCCAGTGCTCAACCGCCGCGCCACCAGGGAGGCCCGCCACCATTGCTTTTTTGACGATTGGGGAAAATGGCCCATCAGCATGCCCACCTCCTCATAATTGGAGTTTTCCAGACAGGCTGGGGGGGATGCTGACACTTACCTGGAAGTAGAGAAAAGCTTCTCAACAAATTTTGACATTTTGAAAGCAGCCAGGAAGCCCTAAGTCCCCAGAGGTGTGGAAATGCCAGGCTCTTGATGAGGGGTGGGGCAGGGAGGGGGATTTTAATATAGTCATTTACCTGATGCCTGACAGCCTGTCAGCAAGAGGCTGGAGAGAGGGGCACAGGCTGAAAAGGGGAAGATCCCAGCAGTGATCCTGCTTCCCCTAGGCCAAGACCCCTCCTGGTGCCCTCTAAGGATTGGCCTGATGCTTAATTAGTATCTGAAAATACATGTTCTGCCCCTAAGCAGGTCACGGCCCACCGCTTACCCCCTTAGGAAAGGATATCAGGCTGGCAAGGGACATGGATGCTTAGTAAGGAGGGAGGCTGAGAAGGGTGTGATTCAGATCCTAAGGTTTTACAGGAAGAAGGACAAGCAGTTTCTCACATCACTTATCTAGGGTAGCATTTTCACTTAAGAGAATTATTATGTCAAGGATCTTTAGAATGGTGTCAAGACTCAGTACATGTCTCAGGTGGTATTACACAAAAGATAATCTCAGAGATCCAATAATGATCCTTAGCAAGAAAAAAAAAAAGCACAGCCATAGCCTTTTACTATGTTTCCTACTTTCTTCTATGCAAGCTCCTATGTGACCTTCAAAACCCAGGTCAAATGTCACCTCTTCCCCTAAACCTTTCCTGATACTTGCTGAGATACTTATGTTCCTGCAGCATTTCTTGTCCCTCTCTGGTTTTGGATTAGTTGCACTGTATATGTGCCTGTCTCCTCAAGATTCTCCACAAGGGTCTCAAAGGCACGGAGGATAATGTTTGCTCATCTTTGCTTCCTCCACAGAGCTATGCACATGGCAGGAATTGGTGAACATTCGGTGATGAGTGAGCTGATTCATTCTCTTTACCAGCCCAGGACAGATACAATTTGCAAGAAAATTTAAAAATGAATGTCACAGTCTTTCACACACTGTGTTTTAGTGACCATGCCTGCTTAGGAATTTAAGTCTCACAGGTCTTGCCCCCTGCTGGCACAGGCTATTAGCAAGAGAAATGACAACTAGATAAATATGAATGTCTCAGCCTTTGGGGACTGATTTAAGAGATGGTATCCCTGTGACTGATTTTCCTTGAATTTAGACCAACAAAGCATCAAAGAGGAAGGGAGACACTTATCTATTCCTTCAGGGAACTATGGGCTTCTGAGTCTGGAAGTTCTTTCTCATGTCTAGCCTGCCTCCTTCCTGCTTCAGTTGGGCTCTGTTGCCTCTGGCTCTGTGTGTGGGGACAATGCCGATCAGCCGTTCCTCCCGCTCCTCCACTTTCTGACTCAGGGAAGCAGGTAGCAGCTGGGTCTCTCTTTGTGCTATTAACAATGCTAACCCTGCCGTGCCATGGATGCTTAAAAAAGCAGCAAATGTGGGTTACTACTGGGAGGGAGGAAGCTGATTCCAGTAGCTTCAGCTGAAGAGGCAATGAGCAGAGGATAAGCAGAGGATAAGGTAGAGAAGAGGATAAGCATGGGAGCTGGCCTGTCAGCTGGGAAAGAAGAGCCTTGTGTTTTCTATGAACTTGAGCATCTGGGAAACATTTGTGAGCTGCGGCTGTGGCGATGTCTAGCAGGAGCTATTAGGGCTCTGGAGCTGGGACTTCTATAACTGAGTGGTTGGGTCTCTGCCTCTTTTCACTCTATTTCTAAGAGGCATTTGGAAAATTGAGTCTCAGACAACTCAGCCTGGATAATGCAGGCCAGTGGCTTTGAATCTTTTTTTGGGTCATGGACAACATTGAGGATTTGATAATGATAAAGGAATGAATGTGGACCCAAGCACTGCTTAGCTAAGTGTCTGGCTTTTAGAAGTTTTTAAGCCTAAAGCTGTTTAGCAGTTTAGCTCAGAAAGATGCAATCTTTTCCCTTTTGCCAGCATCCTTCCTCCAAGGAAATGGACTTTCCACTTTAGAGGAGAACTTAGGGTAAATTCTCAACACTTCTCTCTGATTGCTGTGGACCATATATTTGGTCTCCCAGGTACTCCCAACCAATTCACAAATTGAGGACTAAGGCTCAAAGTGATGGTATTAGGAGGTGGGGACTTTGGGAGGTAATTAGGTCATGAGGGTGGAATCCTTCTGAGAAGGATTAGTGCCCTTATAAAAGAAACCCAGATAGCTCCTTTTGACATGTGAAGACACAGCAAGAAGATGCTATCAATGAAGCAGGCCTGCACCAGACAATGAATCTGCCACTGCCTTGACCCTGGACTTTGCAGCCTCCTGAATCATGATAAATTACTTCTGTTTTTATGAGGTACCCAGTCTATGGCATTCTGTTACAGCAGCCTTCATCCACTAAGACAGTGATCACATCATCATGATGGCCTGCAAAGAGGGCCAGTGTGCCTGTTAATCACCCCTGCTCTATCCTCAATATTGAGCCCCATTTCTCAGGTTTGAAGTTCAACGTTATACTTTTCAGGCTGTCACTGTCTAATTGAGGTGATACATGAAAGGAAAAGGCCATAGTCCTGTCATTGCTCAGAGTTCAGCAATGATTTTAAAGGTCTTTCCAGTGGGGTCAAGGCCACTTCTGCTTCTTCCCTATAATTTAGATCTTGGAGGTTACTGCAGACTAGCAATTAAATTCTCATACCTACAGGGGACAAGTAGTTAAGGTAAATCAATAAAGCAGACTGGATAATATCAAGACATAACACTTGGTTGCCTATTAACACACAAAAAATGCTTCATTTTCATAAAACATAAAATCTTTCTCATCTTTCCTGAAACATATGAATCTCTTGGCCTATTTCTACCTGACAGTTAGGATAAAGACACGGATACAAAAAGAAAATCAATAGCACTAATATAAAAATGACAATGAACACTTGACCTTAGTGAGAGAGAACAATAAGGAGTGGTGAGGATTGTGGCAAACCAGAGAACTCCTGTTTGGGGAGTGGGGGGCCGCTGCTACTCAGTCCAGGAAGGTTATTGTCCCATAAAAATATAGGCTCAATGGGTCAGATTGTCCACACTTGTAAGAGAAGTTATATATATGCATTTATATAAAAATTTGAAACACTGGTAATAAATTCAAAGTACCAATATAAATTTCTCTTCAGATACACACTGCAGACCTAACAAATCCTATCAATTTGGATCTGGCTTGAGACTGCCCTTTCTGTCCTTTGTCTTGGAGGGTTTGCATTATGGCAACACCCTTGATTTCCAATTGAGAATGAAAATTTAAACTTTGTTCATTTAAACACCAATGGATAATACTTTCCTCATGTTCACAGTGTGGACTTGATTTTTGGATGGCATAAAAGAAGCCTGTAATTGTGCTTATCCACCAAGTGTTCCAGATGTCACTGCAAGAGGAGAGAGGCCAAAGGATCATGGGTCTCAACTACTATGGAATCCCTGATGTCCTTATATCCCTGAGCAGCCAACAGCAGTTAAGGCAAGCAATTCCCACTGAAGCTCTGGAATGATCCACCTCCCCTGTAAAACTCTGTGGAGAACCTTTGAGTCATCACTTAGTGGCTGGTGCTGAAAGGTGCTGTCCATACACTAAGCATCAGAAGTCAGAACTTGGCAATCTGGTCTGTGCATCCAGAGTTTGGGGGGTACTGGGATAACGAAAGGAAGGAAGATGATCTTCTGAGTGACCTGGGTCATTTCCCCATTCTGACCTCCTCCTGGTCACTCCATCGGTACCCTCGGCAATGCAGAGGATGGATGGGAAATTCACATACTTCACTACGGTTGCTTTGGCTTGGCCCACTAGCTGGCTAGGTAAGTGAGAAAAAAGTGTTGTTGATCTCTAGTTAAATCCAGTCATTCTTGGGAAAGCAAACTGACTTACCTGCAAAATAATCTCAGCAAATCGGCAATGACTAAAAAGTTGGATATGCCGAGTTGCTGAGGCCATGGGAAAATAGTTACTCTCCTACTTGGTGGGATTGGCATGTCCCCTATGGTGAGCAATTGGGCAATTTCTGCCCACATCATAGATATACATGACCTTTGACCCAACAATTCCACTTTCAGGAATTTATTCTATGGATAAGCCTGTCCATGTGTCAAATGAGATATTTATATAGTCTTTCATTATGGCATTTCATTAGCAAAAAATGCAATGGCCCAGGTGTCCATTATGGAGGACTGACCCAGTAAATTATGTTACTGCCATATAATGGAACATTATGCAGCTGTGAAAAAAGAATCAGGACTCTCCTTACTTATGAATTAGGCCTAATCTCCAAGATAGGCTACTAAGTGAAAAAGCAAGGTGAATGTGTATAGCATACTCTCATTTGTGTAAAAATATATAAAACCAATAAGTGTACTTACCTATTTCTGCATAAAATATAATTAAAAGGACCCAAAAATAAAATATTGCTTACTTCTGGGAAGGGAAAGAAACTGTGGCTGGAATTAGGGGAGAGAGAAGAACTTTTTACCTTCAGTACTTTTTAATCTTTTAAACTTATAACCAAGTGATTGCCGTTCCTGGCAGAAAGAGAATTAGAGTTTGAAGAAAAACGGCAAACTCACAAACAAAATAAAACAAACCAAGCCAAAATCCATATCCCAGGACACATGCTCCTGACCTCACCTCAGCAACCCTTCAACTATGGCGGCTGGTTTCTACCCCATTGTGTTTTGGGGTTTGGCTTCCCTTCCCTTATCTTCACACCCAAGAGGGTTCGGGGCAGCATGAGAGAGTGGGTGCCAGGTTGGCACCGACCTTACCTGCTCCTTCTCTGAATACGGGTTGTTGAGGACCACAGGCACGTTGCCCTTCCCCCATAGGTCACTGAAGACTCGGTCATTCTCTACACCGAGAGGCAGTGGCTTGTGTGACTTGCCATCCATCAGATCTCTGAAAGGCAAGGGGGCAGATGAGGAAGGTGAGGCATCAGAGAGCCTGTTGGCTGCCCCGATCTACAAGTCCTGCTTGAGTCAGTATAGAACCTGCAGTTCACCCACATCCACATGGAACCAGCCAGCTTTAGGCTCCCAGCCACCGAACAGGATCACCAATGACAGGTGGGAAGGAAGCCCCGTTGTCAAGCCCAAAAGTGACTGCATCCAAATTGGCACTGATGGCTGGCACATACCCATCTTTGCGGATATCACCTCAGGATGGCCACGGCGTGGATTTTGTGCCTTCTCCCCCACCCCATTTTATAGATATAGGAACAGAGGAGGCCCATCTTTCAGCAAAACCCCTGGACAACTTAATGTCCACAAGACTTAATCATGGATGATACAGGAGGCAGAAGGGACAGGGAAGGAACCAAGCTATGTGGGTCAGGGTGGAAATCATCCAATGCTGACTAAGGCTTTGATAATAAGATTAATGATACCAGGTCAGGATAAACAGGAAAGATTCCTAAAACAAGGGGGACAAAGCAATGACAAAAATGCAATTAACAATGATGCTAGTATTTATTAAGTACTTATTATGTGTCCAAGCACTTTATATGTTTTAGTATAATTCTTGTGACAGATGTTGAGACAACTAAGTTGCTCAAAGTCACAGTATTCCAGCCTACTCTTCCCATGCATTGTGAAGTGCAGGGTCTCACTATTATAATCATCATTATCATAATTCACCACCACCATCCTCATCACCACCACCACCATCATCACCACCACCACCATCAGCACTACCACCACCACCATCACCACCACCACCACCACCACAATCATCACTACCAAGGCATCAACACTATCACCAGCATAATCAACACCACCCCCACCATCATCACCATCATCATCACCATCACTGCCACCACCCCCACCATTAACATCACCTTTACTACCATCAGTATTACGATCATCACCATCACTACCACAATCACCACCATCCAACTCCTCATTAGCATAACCATCACTATTGTCACAGTCACCATCACCATCATCACCAGTGCTATCATCTTCATTATCATCACCTGCCATAATTATCAAATCATTATCATCACCACTTTTTTCACCTCATAATATTCTTCATCATCCCTTCCAGCATCACCATCCTCCTCCATCACACTGTCATCAACATTGGCGTTACCATCATCATCGTCCTCATAGTCATCATCAGATGAGGAAACTGAGGATCCGAGAGGTTAAATGATGGTGGAGTTGAGAATTGAATCCAGGCTGGTTGCTGATTATAGAGACTACAACTGCTTAACCAGGAAGCTTTCTGGATCCATAATGGCCCCTGGCCCCCAATCTGGTGATGACAGTCGTTTGGGATGAATCAGAAGCCAGAGTCCAGGCTCTGAGTGCACAGCCCTGAGTGCCCCCTCCAACTGCTTCCTTCAACTGTGTTTCACAAAGTCCTGATGGCCTATGCCAAAGGCACTTACATTTTTCTGCTTGGAGAGGCTTGCAATTGCCAGAAGGAATGTTCTGTTTCACCCTCTTTAAAATGTCACCCAAACACACCCGAAGTGGTTCTTGATTACAGACATTTCCCAAGTCAATGGTTTACCTACATGGTGATAAACAGAGGAATTGTCTGTTGTGAGGGTTGCTGTAAATGTCACTCCTTTCAGCTCCCAATCTCCTGATCCTGTTATATCATAAGACCCTAGTGGGGATTCAGAGAGAAGTTTAATATTGTTTGAGCGTCGGTATCATACCAGTGCTTGCACAGAAGTCACTTCATTTAATCTCAACAGACATTAAAAGCCCAATTTTACAGACGCAAAAACCGAGTCCAAAGGGTTTATAGAAGTTTCCCAAGGTTCTGCAGGAAGCACACAGCAGTGTTGGGATCTGAAATGAAGGCTGATGGATGCTTGGCCCAGATCTTTCTTTTCTTTAAAACAGAGATAGGAAAAACTAGTCAGGATGTTCACACTAGGCCAGAGGCTAAAGAGCAAGTAATGCAACTTCTCTCAATCAATGAGGTCAGTTTACAGAAATGACAGGACTCAATTACCCAGGCAACTTCAAAATGGCTCCCAGGGCTTGTGCAGGGAGGGTGGCTTTTGTCATCTTTTTCTTTTTTTGTTCTTTCTTTCTTTTTTTTTTTTTCTTTAAGCATTTAACATCTTTGTTTAAGTAACGCGTTTGGAGTGCTTTGCAGGCACTTATTTACAAGTCCTATGTGAAGCAAAGGGGAAGAAGATTTTTAATATGGGGCCATGGGAACATATGGGTTGAGCTATTTTGCTTCCCTTCACCCAAGAGCAAAATCAGAAGTAGATTTCCGTAGATTCCCAATGCCCAGTCTGACAACAACAACCAGGTCTGAGAGCTGGGGTATTGCTAAACGTGCTCACCAGGGTCTCAGTGTGATGGGGGTGAATGAGCAGCGTGTTGGCTAAAAGCACTGTGGATTGGGTGGAACTGGGTTCACTTCTTGGCTTTATTGGTGATAGGCTGTGCAACTCAGATATTTTTGATACTTAAGCTTTCTAATTCTCCATTTATGCATCTCGAAAATAGGTTTAATGATCACACCTCGTTCATGGGGTTGCTGCAAGGGCTAAGGCTTACAGTATTTAGCCCGTGGGCTTGTTAGCACTCTTACCAATGACAGTGGGTTGGGGGAGAAGGGAAGAGCACAGGCTGTACCTACACACTATATGACTACTGATCTATTTTTTTTTATTTATATGTATTTTACATCATTCTTCATTTTTGTACAACGTGTGCTTTCTCCTCTCAGGTTGATCTGTTTTCTTGAAACTAAAATTCTTAATAATGAACTGAGATTCCCACCCTGATGATGCACAAAGGAGTGCTGGGCATCGACGCCATCAGAAATCAATCAGGATCAGCAGGACAAGATGTACCAGGGTCAAGATAATGGGGAGGCTGAATGTGACAAATACCAGAAACATTAGCTGGCCATTCTGATGGGCTATTAGCACATGACTAACTGTTTTTGTTTAACTTAATATAAAAAGGCCAGCTTGAGATAAGATGGCAGAAGGGTTTCTTCAGGGTGTTGCACCTGCCGTTCTCTCAGATCGCTGGCCAGCTTTCTGAATAAAGTGCTTCTTACAGAATCAATTCCTGTTGCTGCTTATTGGCTTTCTGTAGTGACAGGCAGCACCAAGGACCTGGCCTTTTCTGGTAAAACCACTAGCTTATAGGCTAAACAGACAGAAACAAGAAAAGGAAAATGCTAGTTCTGTATGAGACAGTCAAGAATCCCCTAAGCTGGCATAAACTTTCAGAGACGAGGGAAACATTCCACATCTGTGCTGACTGGTGGTATTGCCACTAGCCACAGGTGGCAACTGAGCACTTGAATTAAGAGTATTGTCACTGAAGAATGAAATGTTTGATTTTATTGAACTCTCATGAAATTGAAACAGCCACCTGAGGCAAGTGACCTAGTATAGGACAGCCCCTGGCTCTCACCTCCTCTCAGTGTCCACATCATCTGGAAAGGCTGTCCCCAGAGGGCGTGGCATTCTGGGTGTGCCCATGTACTACAGCTATCACATGGCCATGTCTGATGGCTCTCAAACTTCAGACTGCATCAGAATTAACCCAGGGGCTTGTTAAAATTCACCTGAGTCCATCCCTGGAGAGTGTGAAGTCTGCTCTAGGCGGGAGCCTGGAATCTGCATTGTCAAAAGGTCGCCACATGGTTCATGGACACCCTTGAAGACCCATTTTCTTGGGAATGCCCTGGGCCCAACTCTACTGTCAACAGCAAGCTGCCCTCCTGGTTAGAAACGTCAGCCCTCCGTCTCCCCTCCTTCCTCCAGCTCCTTCCCTCAGCTCTTCTGCAGCCCTCTCTGTCCCTGTAAGGGCAGGTGTAGTGCTCTGCCCCCCACCTGGCGAGCATTTCCTATGCTTTCTGGCAGGGACTAAACTAAAATCCTTTTTCTGCCACGTTGCTAGCTGGACAAGCCAAGAGTCGGTCTAGCATCTCTAAACCTCTGAGCACCTTTGCCAGGTCCTTCCCAATGAGGCTCCCCGGGAGCCCGGTCCCTGACCTCTCATGCAGGGGATAGGGGCCCTAAGCCTGACTCTATAGGAAGTTGGCACGCGTGCCCTCAAGAGCTGACCACTAGCCAACCCTGAGGCTCCAGGAGGGGCAGCAGGTGGCCAGGCCTGTGTGCAGCACATAGCCTGGAGGTGGAGCCGCTGGCCCAGCCAGGCAAGGAGGCCGCTGAGGAGCAGCTGGTCCTGGCAGGAAGTCCTGCCCACGTCTCTCAGCAGACGCCTCACTCTCTCTGGCTCCCCTTCTCCCTCTCCACACACTCAACAGCCCTTGGTTTCTGTCTCCACCTGGTCATGAATGCTGGGAGCTGTGGAAACCAGGTTTGAGGTCTCGGCACGGCTCTTCTCCTGGATTTTGTGAAGCTGGAGTGGGGGAAGGTCTCATAGAGAGAAAAATGTGCTCCTGAAAGCCGGCTCTGGGATGAATGCTGTCACCGAGCAGTGAGGTGAGGCCTCCAGTCTAGGCATAATAATAGTGCAAGAGCTGGGCAGGACTCCCCAGCTCCAGGCTTCATAGGGTGCAGGCGGGGCACGCCGGGCTGAGTGTGGACGGTGGGGAACCGGAAGGGCCATGAATTCCCCTTTCCCACGGTAGGCTGCCTCGCCAGGAGATGGACTAACGCTAACAGTTCTTCGGATGTAGATAGCAGAGTGAGTCTGGAGACCAGTTTTATGATGACATCTCTTGAATTCTCTATTTTGTCACAAATTCACTCTTTCTGTGAACTGAAGGTTCGAATAAAATTCAAGGGAGAACTAGCTGGGACCCTTAGCTCCCAACTTGTGACCACTGACCTGAACGGATGTTGGACTTCCTGCCAAAGTGGTTTCCAGAAGGGTTGAATGGAGCAGTAAACCTTCCAGGTGTGGCCTGACAGGAGAGGGACATGGCCAGTGGCCTGGTCT